GTGTGTGTGTGTGTGTGTGTGTGTGTGTGTGTGTGTGTGTGTGTGTGTGTGCGTGTGTGTGTGTTCGTGTGTTTGCGTGTGTATGAGAGAGAGAGAAATTTTATTCTCCGTGATCTTGTCATCTGTTTGAAGCACTTAGAGCTTATAAGTACTCGGAATAGAGCGCAATATAAACGCAAACTGTAATCATTATGCTATTACTAGATCTATCACTACTATTATTGGGTTTTTTAAGAATTATTATTGTTATTACTAATTTTTTTTGCTGGTGGTGTTGGTGGTGGTGGAGGTGGAGGTGTCGTTTTTACTGTTATTATTATTGTTCTTACATAACACATACATAATATATAATCTGATTGATGAAAAGATAGACATCTACAGCGTAATTTTAAACCTCTTCAAGCCGGAAACAAGAATATGACCTACATTTACCTGTGTTCTCGTGCACGCTAGGCAAAGATTTCAATAGAGTGGAACCGGGACTGGCTCTTGTTTACAGAAAACGTTCAGGTGTTTCTGGCTTTCTACACACGTAGTGAGATCATCAAGCTCTTCTCGCAATGCCACACCCACCACCGCTAGATCAGGTGGAGAGAAGATGACCAGCTCATCTATAGATGGCATCCCCACTCAGCTAACAGAGAACAAGGTTTAATTAATGTTCCAGAGTGCGACACAGCTCTTGAATTCATGTGTGTGTGAATGTGCGTGGGTCTGATGTGAGAATTGTATGTGTGTGTGGGTCTGTTTTCGGAGTTATGTGTGTGTATGTGTGTATGCCATGCGTTTGTGTATGTATTTTTGTGTATGTGTGGTTGCGAGTGAGTGTATGTGTGTATGTGTGTGTTTGTGTATTTGTGTGTATGTGTGTAGGTGTGTGTGTTTTGCTTAATGGTCTCATAATTTGCATTCTCTGCCCTATGATTCATCAGTTAAGTTGACTGAAATGTCTGCACTGTACAATGCTTAAAGCTTTCTAGGGATTAGGCACTATATAAATTTCCATTATCATCATCATCATCATCATCATCATCATCATCATCATTATTATCATTATTATTATTATTATTATTATTATCGATGATATTATTATCATTATTGTTGTTGACGATGTTGTTGATGTTATTCTTATTATTATTTCTATTAATATATCGTTATTTCTATTATTATTCTCACTATTATTATAATTATTATTATGATGATTATTATTATTATAATCATTATTAGAGATTTCAAGTATGTCGCAGACATCTACTCTTTTACTAAGAAATTAACTCTACAGGGAGGATATATAGCTAGCTATTACTGTATCTTCTTGAGAAACCCTACGAGACAAAATTAGTCCAAACTGTAAACAGCCTCCGACCCGTAAAGAGCACACGTCTGACTAACTACTGGCGCCAACTTTCTCCCTGATATCTGATATGTCTATCTCAATAAGACCCGGAAATAATCCAGAAGGTGACTTGGTCAAAGATAAGACAAAACCGCGACCAGGCAACAGTTAGCCGATCGAAAGAGTTCGGAACGAAATGCCATAGTGTAAGAAAAACACACAAGCTCATGAACTGGAATACTAATACTAATAGGATAACGGTCAATACAAGCAGACTTAAAACATTCTCCAGTTTCCAGCAGCCGTTACCAGTGTGATTTAAAGACTCGGCAAAAGAAACGGGTGACAAAGAAAGAGGAAACAAGATCCAAATCGACAGCGTTGGAAATCCTGTACACAAATACGATAACAGACGATACAAACAAAAAGCATTGTCTTGAAGCCAACACCAGTGTTATTGCTAAATCACAGCAAAAGATACGGCTAGCAACACATGAAGGGCAAACAAGATCCATGTCGTTATTTACAAACATAGCTGAACTTACATGCCGGGAACCCTGGGTAATCCAGCACAACGAAAGTGGGTATTTGTACACAGTTTGGCGGACAACTACATGTACCACGACGCCGCTTGTCCCGCAGTCTCGGGCTCTTCTGGAGCTAAAATCTAGGAACGTTGTTGCGTCGTCGTTTTCCGTAGCGCGCGTGTGATGATGGCAGGCGCATGCTAGCAGTGTGAGTAAGAAAACTGTTAACCCGCGCGCACGTGATTCTCTCGCTGTGAGCCAAGCAACAACCGAGAGGAATTATTCCGGCTTGGGAAAATTTACCTGATCGGTCCCTCCAAAGCCAGCGGGCTGAAAGAGTTGGCAAGCCGCTTGTATTGTGTGAGCCTCGCTTCTCTCAGCCTGCGCTAACTTCTCTCAGTCCAGTTCTAAACCGGCAGGAGGGTGAGTGAGTGAGTGAGTGAGTGAGTGAGCGAGTGAGGGGGCGAGAAGGATAGGATAATGAGGAAGGAGAAAGAGGAGGAAGAAGGACTGTAAGGAAGGAAAAGGACTGAGGGAGGAGGGAATGGGAAAGAAGAGACGAAAGAATTTTATGAGTGAGTGCAAGAGTGAGAGAGAGAAAGAGAGATAGAGAGAGCGAGAGATAGAGAGAGGGGTGGGGAAACGAGGGGCAAAGGGAGATCAGCGTGTTGGTGTAGACGAGAGGCGCAAGGGGAGAGAATCGTGGATGATGTGCGATTGGAAGCTTGTTGTTTGTGTGAGAGAATTTGGATGGTGCTTTGATGCTTCTCCTACGATTAGCGTGGACTCATGTTTTGTATGAGGCGTTATGCTTTATAGCCTGCTGAGTGGATGTTGAATTAAACAGACTCTTACAGCTTTAGGGGTGAAAGGAGGGGGGGGGACACATTGAGACGTATCCCATAGTGTATTTCCTGAAGAGAAGGCACATCGCACATACCATTTATAGATGGGTTCAAGAGGAGAGAGAAAGAGAGAGAGAGAGAGGGGGGGGCAGACAGACAGACAGACAGACTGACAGACAGACAGACGGAGAAAGATCAACAGAGTGGGAGAGAGAGAGAGAGAGAGAGAGAGAGAGAGAGAGAGAGAGAGAGAGAGAGAGAGAGAGAGGGAGAGAAAGAGAGAGAGACAGTAAATAGATAGGGGAGAGATGGAGAGGGAACAGGAGAGAAAGAAATAGAGAGAAAAAAGAGGGGGAAAAGAAAGTGAACTGATGGTCAAATTCTATCTTACAGATATAATCACACACTCATAAACACGCTCGCTCGCACGCACACACACACACACACACACACACACACACACACACACACACACACATACACACACACACACACACACACACACACATCAACACCTACAAAGTAACACACACACACACGCACGCACACACACACACACACACACACACACACACACACACATACACACACACCACACACAGACACGCACAGAGACAAACAAACACATACACACACAAGCACACATAAACACACACCCACAAATAAACACACACACACACACACACACACACATATATATATATATATATATATATATATATATATATATATATATATATATATATATATATATATACAAACACGAAAAGACTTAAGAACAGGCATCAAAAGAGAGATAAGCAATAATCATACCAACAACAGCAGAACACAGACTACATTTAAATGACATTTATTACATGGGGCTGGGCAAGTACCCGGGTACTAGTAGTTTCCCGCGTAGGCCAGTATAGAGCTCAAAAAGCGGCTATCCGGGTATTGGTGTCGGGTACCCTGGTTTTTTACTCCCCTTCGTTAACTCCTCTGCAAATGCACTTAAATTATGTCTCTTCGTTCGAACCTTAATAGGCACTGAGTACTTATCGATACATGTACTGAGCTCTCTTAGTCGATACAGAACTCGATCGATATTGGCCACTGGCAGTTCTTTAACAGAGTGAGATTCGCAAGCGCATCACACAACTCGAGGACGGGTATTTTGTGGCAGCATCAACTATCCTCGACCCCTGTTTCTAACGGCTTCCTTTCAGTGAAGGCGCAACGAAAAAAGTAGAAACTCGCCATCTTTCAGAGAGTAGAGACAAACAAGCAGACAGACCCGATCAAACACCAGGCTCATTGTCGGTTTCAGCTGCTGAAACAGAACCTCCGGCAACAAAATTATCATTGTGGCAAGCCTTTGATGTGCTAGCAGAGAAGCATAGGCAAACGTCTCTGCCACAAACAAGTGCCACAGTCCAACTGAATCGGTACTTTGAGATTCCCTGACCAGAAGGGGAGAGGACAATCCACTGACCTGGTGGAGTCGGTATGGAAAAGCCTTTCCAGAACTCAGCCAGGAAGCTAAAAAGCTATTAGCTATTCCAGCAGTATTTGTGACGTCAGAACAGCTGTTCTCCAAGGCTGGTGAATTGATGTCATCTAAGAGAAACTGTCTTGACGAAAACCACGTGGAAACACTTTTGTTCTTATAGAGACGTTTCAAATTATTGACCCCTCTTTCCTAGTCCAACACGTGTAATATTTTTGTGTCTTTCATCCTTGTCTTTTCTTTATCTTGTTAAATCGTTGGCTTCATTGAGATTCTGTTAGACCAACTGTCTTGAATTCCCAATTTTTGTGTACGCTTAATTCGTTGTATCCAATTTATATTGATTTTGACCCCCAAAAAATTAAAGTTAAAAAGTAATAAACAAAACAAAACAGTAAAAACAACATCAAATAAAAACAAAAAAGGAAGAAAAATCACTCCCCCC